GTTTTTGCTGCCTGTTGCAGCGCTCTAGCGCTGCACGGCAAAAACGCATAAAAATCGGTACAGGCGAACACACAGACACACACACACACACATACACACAATCTCTCGTCAATATGCGTTTTCTGCATTGCATAGCTGCAAAAAACGCATAAAAACGTGGGAGGAATGTTATCCAGAAAAATGCTCGCAAAAAGTAACGTCAAATTTGCTCAATTATGCAGAAAGGCGATTAAATTAGTGAAAACACACAAATCTAATATCCGCCTGGCAGTGTTTTGATCAATGCCGGATGCGAATGGGAATGTACGAAAGATACCTCGAGCTTATTCACATTTTCTTCGATTTCTTCCTTTTCAACCTCTATTCTCTGCTCCCTCAATAATCGTTCCTTTTCTTCTTCGCGTCTTCGTTCTTCTTCGGCACGTTTATGGGCTTCAATTGCAGCTTGCGTAACCTAAATTTCAATGTGTTTTTTATTTAGTAGGCAAAGTACGGACCAAAATTACCTCATATGACCTTTGCATGTAAGCACAGGTCCAAAGAGCAGGGAAACCTGGCTCAGGAAATCTTCAAAATTTTCCATTTTACTGAAACAAATCCCATCCATAACTTTTCCATACTTTTTCGACAGCAGTTATCCTCCATCTCCATCACACATATCGCGCTCCAACAATCAGTCCAAAGATCTAATGTTACTCAAAGACTCCCAAAGCTAAGCGCCCCTTGATTCTGAGCTGCACATCCCCAGTTATTGGTCACCGGATGTTCGATTTTATGCGAACTATCTCTTCGGTTTTCAGTTATCCAGACAGTGGTTTCCTTCTCACAGACAACATTCAGTTATATTTCATAAAAGCAGACCTTGGTGGGTGCAGCTGCTGCTGCTCTGCCTGCGATAGCGTTCAATTCTTCATCATGGGCTAATCGATTCTCATGTTTCCTTTGTAATGCTTCTTGACGTTTGCGTTCCGCTTCTTCCTGAAATGAAATGCGAAATTTTAGAAGTGTGATAAAATGGCAAAATCAATCCATACAAGAGCGTAATACGTTGATAAAAACAGGCATAACTATGT